AGCGTTTTCAAAAAATCTTAAATATACCAGAACTCACCAAATACACATACTAGTCTCTTAGTCTGACCAAATGAAAAACATGGATAGTAACCCCCTGAAAACCATGTGGGTATAAAATAAAATGTTCCTCTGATTGCACTTAAAATAAATGAATGAATAAAAAACAATACTTGTTAGGAATTAAAAGTATACAATATATTACATTTATTTTTTAAATGCAGTTTTAAGTTCAAGCATGAGGCCAGAAACCACCATGGCAACAAAGCCAGAGCTGATGAATTAATCAGTTCACATTTTCAATTTAATATCCTACAACAGCTTGTGTTAGGAAAGTATAACACTATACATTGTTTTGCGTCAGACATCTAGTTTTTCAATCATTTTAAAAGTATGTAGCCTTGATACATAACGTGCTCATAAAAAAAAAGCCATTTCACTAGGCAACTAACTGTGTTAGATTAGTCATATCTTTCTATATGGAAATGACTTTCATGTATTTGCTTCAATGCAGTTAAAGCTTACTGTGACACACAAACAGAACATACATTCCCCCTATAGCGTCTGTTTCCCACATCCTAGACAGCATTAAAGCAACGAGTTTCTGTGCCAGCATCATTACATGCATGCATAATTTAGAAGGAATGTTAGCTTTGTTCCTATACTGAACAGTATGCTGCACAGTTTCCATTTGCCACAAATCGCTGTTTATCCATCTCCTTTTCACCATCAGCAGTCACAGCCCACTTTCACTTGCCAAGTACATTCTGACAGGGAAGAGGAATTAGCAAGTGATGTTTCACAGTTATTGTAACAGGCAACAAGGACAAACAAGAGGGAGACAGACTCCATTTGAACAAGAAGACCTTTCCACACACTAAAACATCTACAGTTTACTTCAAAATGAGTCTACAAGCTTTTAATGAACTACATGTAGGACATGTACATGTTACATTTGATTCACATCATTCAGAGTCATGATGAAATAGGATTTTACATCATCAGACATGGTAATGCTCTGATCTATGCATGCAACAGCATTAATGTGTACATTGGACAGAGTGATTTGCCTTGAACTAAAATAACTGATGATAGATAATAATACTCTCTTCACAACAGGATTTAATGAGTCAGAAAAGGTTGTCTAAAACAACTAAACAACCCTACCCCGACCGCCAGACCATCAGAGGCAATTTTATGTGTTTAGGGGTTTTCCCTGTGCTATAGTGTGTTATATAGATTTTCTTGTGCATGTAAAAGGTCAAAAAAGTGACAAAACCTAAAGTTTAAGCCAAAGGGAGTTACTGTCTCCCACAAACACTCCTCCCACTCCTGCATTGGCTGACACACCTCTTTGTATTCAGCCTTTTCTTCTCTTTCTCTATGACACCACATAGAAACACTGCACTACCTATAGGCTAGGTGACAGTCCAGTCCCACCAACTGAAACCTAGTTGATGTACCTCGCTGTCCGCCATTGATGTTGACTTAGTAACTTGACTCTGTAACATGAAGATGTGGAGTGTACAAGCAGAGTACAAAAAAATGTCCAGTTCCTCTGTTGTTGGCTTTAAGTCTTATTTACTCCCACCATCTGAGGAAGCGAAGGTTGGCAGGTTGAGACATTGCCATCGCTAGAGTGGCAGTGTGTCTAAAATGTGACAGTCTTAATGAATTAATGTAGGGTAAGTAAGTAAAACGTATACCTTTTTTTTCAAAAATTAAAAACATTTTAGAGGCAATAAGATGTTTTCCATCATAAGAAACCAACAGCGAACATAAATACAGACTTTTTCTGCAAGGGTGTGGTTGTCCATACTAGAAGAAAATTGAACAGATTTAGAGTCCGATACGCCTCTCCCAACACTCTCGTGGGGTTCCTGAATCAAGGCTCCTTTGAACAGATTATGTGCCCAAATTACAGTATGTGTGAGTGGTTACATAATCTTAACTTTACCGACTGCATCAGAGTTTCCCCAATTACCAATTGTAAATATGATTTCCATTTTAAAAATTCTGTCGAGTGAAAGGCTCAGCAATGGAATAAGGTTGATTGTCACATCTCCTCATATTGTAAACTCCTTAGAGTGACAAACTTCAGTCAGTCTTACTAATGTAACGTAAGAATCAGTCCAGTAAGACAAGAGTCATTCCAAACTAATTTGGCTTTGTGCACATGAATTATGATCCGCTGCCTGATTTTGAGCCATTAGATTATTTCATTAAGTCAGTGAAACATAAAATTCCAATTAGGATGAAGTCTGTGTGTCACTGCCAAATGTAAAAATGTAAAACTGGGGTGATTATCTTCTAATTTACACTTTCAGTGGCTTTAGCTTTGCATTGATGTGTGTTGGATCTGGTCAGAGCTGCTGCAGCCTCATCTCTGCTGAGTCAAGACTTCGATTCAGTTCCGAATTAAATAACTAAACAATAGGGGAGCACAGGGTCCGTCGTAACAAAGATGTTCCTGAAATTTATAGAAAACAAACTGCAGTTAAACTTCTTTTTTTTCTAAATGAATCAGAGCTACACGTTTCCTTTATGTAATTGTAATTGATCCCGCATGTGGGGTCAGCTGTAACATTGCATTATTCTTAAAACCTACCTTAATTGTTTAGTTTAACTAGAATCATATCCGTGTATTAACAGTTAATCCATATTATAAGTCATTTTATTTGGAGGACAAAGTGAAAGTGAGCATGTTTGAACATTGCACAGGAAAACTGGACAAGTGCAGTAAGTACAATAAGTCAAAGGTCAACTGGAAACTGTGATAGATGTTTACAAAAAACAGGTAATAATGGCCTTAGTTTTCTCTCTTTTTTTGTTTACCACCTGTCTGATAAAAATATGTTACACTCTTCCATATTGGAAAGCACCAGTAACCTAGCCACATTAGCACTAGTGATTACATATGTACCACAAGAACAGTATTTAATTGATATTCAATGAAAAATACAAGTATGGCTTTTTGTTTTTCTCACATAATAGTTTTTGATTGAAGAAAACAAACGTTAAAACTGAACCCAAGGTGTTATTACAAGTTCTGTTCTCCCCCACTTCCAGGCTGCTGTAGCTTCAAAGCAAAGGGGGAAAAAAAGTGTGTCATACGTTAGGTCAAACCAGTTTATTGTATAGTTACTGGTTAAGGTCACCAATTATTAGCCCACATCTACGACCATAGACTGTGTCCATACAAGCACTAAGTCTTCAGTGGCAGATCCATAGTGGATAATCAGCGGCCAGCAGAGGCTGCAGCTGTTAATATCGACGGCTGCTTAAGGAAGCATGTCTTTATAATTGCATGTGCTGCCCATGCTCTCTGCAGCACTAGACCTAAGAAAAGAAAGAAAACAAAGGTTTGATAAATGTGTTTGAGCAGACTTTTATAAACTCTTTTCCTTCATTATCTTCCCATCACTTTAAAACAGCCAACAAATATTATTTTCATAACAAGTATTGATTGTTTCTGTGCTATAGCTTTCTCAGCAAATTAGGCAATGTGAGTATAGGTATACTGGGCGTGTGTGTGGGTGTGTGTAGTCATGGATTTTTTTGCTCTTTAAGCAAGTGTGTATCTGTGTGTGTGCACGTGTACGTTGTTGTATGTTTATGTCCATTATAGGATGACAAATATTTATATATAATATAACTTTTGTCCTATTTGTTTGATCAAGAAATTGCAGTACAAAAATACCAAAAATATATTTAAGGCAATTTCATTTTAGTTTTAATTTGTGAAATGAAAGAACTATCAGGTCAGTATCAGTCAGGCTTTTACAGGAAACTAATATTAAACTTTGTATTGCATGTTTAAATAATGAATTCAGAGGACAAGCCAAGAAAAAAATTATTCATACAGCACATTGACTCAATTTCTGTGACTTTTAAACCCATATACAGCAACAAATAACTTACATGGAAAAATATAATAAATAAAATATATACAAAGCTTTACAGACAGTGTGAAAACACAGGGAATAAAATGTAATAAAAAGAAGGAGAAATCAAAAAACTTCATTTATTGATTCATTGTTTATTTTTTCAATCATTTCCATTTACACTTCCACAGATTTTCACACAAAATATTGACTGGAATCTGTTCAAAGTGCACAAAGCGTGCACATTGCATGATCAAAGAAGAAGATAAAGTAAATAAAGTCTGTGAAGTAAAATTAAAGTGCTTTGCCGACACAAAGAGCACAAGGAATAAAATAAGGCAATAAAACAATGTAAAACATTAAAAGGAAAAGGGAACAAATGTAATAAAAAGAAAAAAGAAATATACTATGGACATATGAATGCTAGTCTATAAAGTAAGTTTATGTACTGTAAGTGTGTGTATGTGTGTACATATACGTGCTTGTACAGTAGTGTGTCTGAGTGTGTGCCAGGGCCTTTAAGCATCCGTGTGTTTTCTTTTGGTGCGTGAGCGCGTGCGTCTTTAAATATTCTAATCGATGTTTACGACCCCTGGCAAGAGGAGGGCTGTCAGCATGCCAGCATCACTGCAGCTGGGGACTCTGCTGCCCCCCAACACACACACACAAACACACACACACACAAGCACCACTACCACCGCCACCTTTCCTCTCTCTCTCTCGCCACTAATTCTCTTTCCCTCAGCTGCTATCCCTCCTTTCACAGGTATTTTAACTTCTAAACATCCAGATTCTTTCTTTCATCTTCTGTCCTTTCTTACTCTTCTGGCATCCTTTTCTTTGCCTCTACTGTATAATCTCTCTCTCTCTCTCTCTCTCTCTCTCTCTCTCTCTCTCTCTCTTCTCAAGTGTGTGTGTCTCTCTCTCTTTTTGGTTTCAAATGATGATCCCCCCTCTGCTGCTGCAAGGAAAACTCCACCTACTCAGCGCTGTTAATGTAGTCACTGACAGTGTGAGCTGCTCTCTTTCTCTCTCTCCCTTTCTCTGTGCCCCCTCTCTCTCTCTCTCTCTCTCTCTCTATAACCAGCATCTCCCCCCAACCTTCCTCCTCCTCCTCTCCGAGCATCCTTCTCTCCTCTCACATTGCTCTCCGGCTCCACTTGCGCTCGCAGCCTCCTGCCCGTTCACCGCTCTCAACACTCCGCCTATCTTCCTCTATTGCACACACACACACACACACACGCACACACACACACACGCACACGCACCCACACACACACACACACACACACACACACACACATTTACACACACACACATGCATGCATGCGTACAGTCTCCCTTCTCTTACTGTCTCCCCTCTCTCTCTCTCAGTCACACTCGGTCCTGTGCAGACTTGAGGAGCCCCGGAGATGATGCTGGTGGTGATTCTGTTGGAGCTTTAGTGGTGATTTTTCTTTTTCCTCTTTAAAAAAGAAAACTAGACTCAGAGCAATGTTGATGCAACAGCACCTCTACCCTCTGCGCTGTGTTGATCTGCCTGCCTCCTGCCTACAATCAGCCCATTTTGGGGGGATTTAAGCGACAGAGAGTGTGCTGCGCCGGCTGTGCGCTCTGCGGTTCTGGTGCGCTGGATCTTCTTCTTCCTCTCCTCTTTATCTCTCCACTAAAGGATGCTCAGTTCTTTCCACAATCAGGAATATTTCTACCACAACTGCCAACACTCTTGCTGCTGCTGTCCACTTCTCTGCCCCAGCCAGATCGCAGTCTGATGCGCCCCGGTCCCCTAAAGGGAAGAAGAAGCATGTCAGAGGCACCTGTGTTGCACATGGAAATGAACCGTCTGCTGCTGGTTCTGCTGGACACCAGCCTCTAAACCAGACTTGAGATTATCCAAAAATCATAGACTGGCTCTGAAGAATTGGGGGATCCTTAGAGTTCCTTACTGACAAGCTGAAAATCCCTGTATCACTGTATATTGAGGAGCACCAGCTGCTTAACCAGCTCCATGGTTTTCTGACTTGTCCAAGACTGCAATTTTGGCATCTGACTAAGAGGTAAGACTGCTTTTACTTTGACTTTGCTGTGTTGCTTATCTATGGTATTTTCTCTCTGCTCTGCTCTTCCTGAGCAACATTGATTCTGTACTTTGGAGAGGAAAGACTCAGTCTCAGTGATGTGGCAGATTTTGCTTCGCTGGATCACTCTTGGGGTCTGCTAGAAGCTCATTTTTAAGAAACTGTGTCCACTATTAAGCTGCTACCGCATCCCCCAGCTTCATCTGATTTGTCATGACTGGCACTGCTCTGTCCTGTTTACTATGCACCGTCCACTGTCTGTAGCAATGTCCCTCACTGTGTGTTTCTGCTCAGCAGCTGGTTAGAAATGAATGGCACTGCAGCTGAGAAGCCAGAGGTGTTTAGTGTTAAGTGGATTTCTAGAACCACGGAGCATCCCAGCATCTGTTTGCACTGAGTTTGTCATGATCAGTCTGCTGGTATAAGTGCACAGGAACTGGCACTCAGAGATGAACTGCAGCTATTTTAAGTTCATTATATCCACTTTTGGGGAGGAGGGTTCTTTACCTTCAGTTTATGATAATTTTTTTTGTCTCTAAAACTCAGGCAACTCATTCTGTTTAAGTTTGTAGGTACAGAGGGCTTTCAGTTTTTCACATGGCAATGTTAAAAAAAAGTATGTTATGCTGTTATTGGTTTATTCCTGATAAAATGTTAAAACAAAAAAATGAGGGTTATTACTGGATCTACTGTCTATTGAAGGTTCCCCTCATCATGCGCATCACCCACATGAACTGGTATGAATAACTGACATTGAAAATCGACCATCCTCCTGCATGCATGTTTGCTTTGCATTTGATTGTGTATTGAACTTGTCAGTCTGCTATACTGTATATCAATTGGTGTGTGGGTTATTCCCTGTCAGATAAAATCACTGAATGGTGTCTCTATATGGAGATCAAGATATGGGGTAATTGCATTCTCGGGTTCACTGTGCGTGTGTTCAGTGTCAGAGTCTGTGCCAGCGGGCGGCTTCTTCTGAATCAAGCAACACAAATGACTGAGAAAGGATATCACATCCTGTGTCTGAGCTCATATTTGTCACTGGGATGTTCACTCATCAGATGGCGTTACTGGATCATGTCTGTGAAAGGAAATTCAAACTTAAGGATGATTGCGTTTCGAGGTCAGCTGTAGTTTCTAGATCATTGCTCTTTGGCATTTGTTGAATAAATTACTCAAATGAAAGTCAGTGGATATGGAGACCAGATGGAGTAACTTATGATAAAAATAGAAAGATATCCTATCCAACTGTTCTGAAATTATTCCCAAATGCATTCATGGTCTATCTAGCCTTCTTTAGTGCCACAAGCAATGAACATATCAAGGACTTGGAGCCAGAGGTCTGTTGGGAAGAATATCAATAAAGTCTTAAAAAACCTCTCATGCATATTCTGCATATGTGAGTGGAACAAGATGATATGACTGATCAGGCTCCACACTGTAAAACATCCAACTATGCTAAACAATAATGACATTTTGCAAATAAGATAAGATAATTCCACTTGTTGCCAATGCATTTTGCACTTGTTGCCAATCCAGTTTGCTGTTTCAGTATCATCTTTTAGAAATGAATGACTTGAAACAACATGAACATGACTTGGGAGAAATTATTTTGCAGTGCACTAGTTTTTACTGTAATGAAAACGCAATCAAATCGACCCACGCCCTTTTGGCTACACTCAGCATTTTTCTTTAACATAGTGTATACAGTAAACGTTGCACACTTAAAAAATAATAAGAGCATTTGACTCTTAATGCTGCAGTAAGTCACCTAAAAACATATATTTTTTATTGTACTTTACGTTCACTATATCCTAACAGTAGTAGTGAGACATAATATGTGACAAAAATTCAGGTTCCTCTGGCTCCTCCTAGTGCTTCTAAAGGGATTTGCAGAATCCACTGCGTCTGAGCAAAAACAGCCAATCAGAGGAATGATGAGTCTTTAACACAGTCAGAGGAAGGAGGAGGCAGAGGAACCTGACTTTTCTTTTTTTCCCAGATCATCTGTCTCATGTACTGCTGCTAGGTTATAGTGAAAGAGTCAGCAAATACTACAAAACATATTTGTATAAAAAGATACCTACTGCAGCTTTAATTGTTTCAGTTAATTTGTTGAGGTTGAGTTGAGGAAATACTTTCATTTTACCAATTGTATAAAGTATTGTAATAGTTTGCTTTGTGATGGAGATGCAGTATTTTTAAAAGCACATTGTAATGTAGAGTGGAGAAACACATCCTGTAACAGCTCTCCATCACCATCATCAAAACACCAAATGTGGGAATATCTTTTGGTAGAATGGTGTTCACCCCTTCAATGGCTTTCCAGAGACTTGGAAAATATATGCCAAAGAACACTGGTGGCCCAACAACTAATACAAACACTAAGTTGTACAGCAATGATGCAGGATCTGTGGTAGAGTGTGTGCAGGTGAAATAATGAAACAAAAACTTCAATCTGAAAGGACATCTAGGAATTTTGTGGGAGCTATTGAAAGCCATGCCAAAGACTGTTTCCAGTTGATTCCTTCCACTTTCTAGATGCAGTTGGCACATTTGGCAGATGTTGTTATGATTTTCCAGACTATTTAATAATCGTGTAACCGTTTTTTGACAGATGCTTGCAATTTTAGGTGCCAGATGAGTTCCGATGTTCCATTTTATTGGTGATAATTACAGATGCTTAAATTCAAGTCAATATGACCCACCTTTGAAGCAATATTTGTAAATGTGATTGAAATACTTGTGAGACCTTTTCCATCAGGTGTTTACTTTCCTCCTTCTTCCCTCTGGCAGTTGTGGGCTTTCGAATATTAAAATTCTGACATTAATTACAGCAACCTGTTACAAATCTATACAAGCTCTACCCTAACTGTCAGCTGTATGATCACTGGACTTCAAGCAGTGAAGGAGGGAGTTTGACCTTAACTGTTCCCCTCCTACATAGATTATATCCTGTCTGGCCCTTACATCAGAATATTTCTCACAAAGTTGACTCAGACATGGTTACTCATGGCTACCACATAGACACTAGTCTTGTTGTTATTTTTTTATAGATTATTTTTGGGGCTTACTTTGTCTTAAATAGACAAGAGTAGCTGAAGAGAAACAGGAAAGTGAAGAGAGAGGGGGGTGGCATGCAGCAAAGGGCTGCAGGTTATTTCTGTTGGATTCCTTGTCCAAAAAAATCAAGAATAAAAAGATGGAATAGATGAAATGTTATTGTTATTATAAATAATGAATAATGAAACAACAAGGGAAATGTCAACATGCTGATGTTTAAGTATTGTACAGATATTTTTTTTTTACCTGATGATGGCATTTGCTCACAACACATGATACACATGGACCCAGTCAATGGACGTATAGGCAGAGAGAAAGAAAGAAATAACCAAACTCGCATCCGGTACAAGTCTGAAGTTTCACATAAGAAAATGGATTGGGTAGGGTAGCTGAACTCTCCTGCAGCTTACTTGAGGGAAAAAAGAAAGTGAGGGGTAAAAGGAACTGAAAAATGAAATGGAATGACGTTAAACAGAGAGAGAGGTATAAAGCAGAGAGAAAGACAGCAAGAGGAGGATGGGAAAGTGAGAGATGATGAGGCAGGAAAACATAGAAGGAGAAGGGGACGATAAAGGGAGGCAGAGATGAGGAACAGTGGGAGACTGCAGGTGTTGATCGAGTGTCGACGAGAACAAAGTCCCCGTCGGAAACCAGCGCTGCGTCGACTTGGACAAGACAGCTGGTAAAGAAACATGAATAATGAATTTTTAGGAAAGGTGTAGTGATGAATACTGCAGCAGGGAGCAGAAGAAGCTCTGAGGTGTTTCTCTCCACGACTCCCCCTCTACCTCAGCAAGCACTCATGAATTACTTAAGCTAAAAACTAGCCAGTACACACTTTAATTACACACACACACACACACACACACACACACACACACACACACACACACACATACACACATGATGCATAACTACATTAGAGCGCAGAGGGCGTCACCTAAAAGTCAGTAAAGTTGATTTGGAGCCAGAGGACGAGCTGCTGTGTCCTTCAGTGTCTCAGCACCTTAAACAAATCAACTCATTTTAGTGGTCTGATGACAGCCTTGACTGTCCTTGTTTAGCCTTGAGATACACACTTTAAAATGTACGTGTGTGTATTTTTATATGTGTGCTTGTGTACAACCCGTAGAGTCCAGTAATGGACAACAGCTTATATTTGAATCTTGGATCTTAAATATAAACATAACATTAAAATGTGTTTATGTGGAAAGGAAGACGGTAACATTTTCAAAAGTATAATTTTAAGACACTGGTTCTTCACTACCCTCTGGGCGTGCTTGTCCCTGCCAGAAGGTGCAGGGCAGAGGCACATCATCAGGTAGATTCAGCACACCTGGTCTCACAACCTGCAGTCTCCCTGACTTCAACCCTTTTGGATCTGTTAGGTTTGCTTGCATTTGGTTATAGTTTGCTGAACCCTGTATGGATTTCTTTTACTGCAGACAGTTTGACTTCTCCTGGCTGTAAGTAATCAAATTTAGAAATGTATTAATGAATCCAGAAGTTACTTTTTTTTACTTAACTGTCCTTCTTTCTTATTTGCTTAATTTGTATTATCTTTCCTGCCTTTTTTTATACACTCTTCACATCCTTATTGTTTTTTACACTTCTCTTGTTATGTCTTTCTTTTCTTGCGGCTTCTTTCCTCCCTTAAGGTTTCCCTTTCCTGTCTTATTTATGTGCTTATTTTCTTCGCTTTGCATGCAATTCTTTTTTCCCTTCTTCATTCCCTGTCATGTTTCTTTTTATTTATTTCATTCTGCTATTCCTTCTTTCCTTCAATCCTTCCTTTCCATCCCAGTGCCTACAGTATATACTTTGTATGTATATATATATATATATATATATATATATATGTAGTGTGTGTGTGTGTGTGTGTATGTGTGTGTGGTGTGTATGTGTGTTTATGT